ACATATTCACTATGGTCTTTCTCTTACTCATTCTCATATTTGTAGGCATAGACGTATTGATAAAATTCTTCCCACTTCTTTGTCCTTAAGTTTTGCAGCACTGGTTCTCTCTTGTATTGGCAGTGACTTCTAGTGGTCTGTTGGAGACCTACATAGCACAATTGGACAATGCCTTTATATCTCTTGTTTTCTACAGCCTTCTCTGTCTGTAAAATGCCAATGGCACCAAGCTTGCAGCATATGCATTCTAACTCACCTTCGCTCCAATGCATCTTGCAAATATTACTGACCTAACATATACCATAGTCCATGCAATGATGAAATGTCGAGTTTCATTAACATTCCCATAGTACTATTACATTTTGTAACACTTCATTTTTTTATCAGTTTTGATGTCGTAATGGCATCCTAGGAATACCGGGAAAGAATAAAATCCTGAATCGTGTATAGTGAACTAGGAAGATTTTTGTTAAAAGTAGAGACATGGAGAATCTTGACAGATGGTATCTCTGTGATCTTGTGCATTCTAATTTTCTTGGTTATGCATTCATGTTGGAAAATTTCGTGTATGGAGTAACAAACAACGCCAAGAAACTCTTCAAATTGCCTTTGAAATTCTGTAGAAATTTCGGCAGGGTAACGGTGGGAAATTGACTCCAAATAAATCATCAAAAATGTAAAGTATAGCAGCAATAATATTAAAGTCGTGACAAATGTTGAACACTTTGTCCTTAAGTCTACAGTTTATGACAATCAACTGTCAAAATACAATGACTATCTTCTTATATAAGTAGCACTACAACACACAAAAAAGGGCGAACCAGAACTTGGTTTACGAACTCTGGTATGCAAAGTGAAGAAAACCAGAATTTATACAACAAGAATGCAAGAATTTGGTTGAGAAATGAGCGAAAATGAATACTATATGATTGCATATCATCGTTGTGAAGATTGAAACGTCCCTAGGGGTTCTATATATAGAGGATAGGGGGTTGTGAATGAAATGTCGCTCTTCAAGTTCAGCAACTCTTGTGAAATGTTGCACCATTTACTGTCGCTAACCTGTCGTCATCGCCTCACTCGAGTGATAAAAACAATGACTTTTTCGCTAGCCTGTCGTTGGCGTGTCACTCGAGCGACAGTCCAGCCATAGCAACAGTCTTAGTCAATTTTCGAGACAGCTTCCTTTGTTTTCTTCCCAACTTTGGACCTCAATTTCTCATTCATCCGGAATTTGTTTTGAAATTCCAAAATCACGACGATCTACTCGACGAGTAGAACAAGTTAGTCTATTTACTATTGTAATTTGACCATCGGATCTAGTCCGAATATTTAATCGAAGTTGACACAAAAGTCACTTTTTCCAATTTATTGTTTTATCACAACCATATTTCAATCTTTCAAACCAATTTCCAAGAATTCCATCTCTGCTCTTCTTCCAGTGTATAGTTCTATGTATCATTCACTAACATATGTTGTTGATGTTGTAATTACCGAAGCAGTGGAGAAAGGAAGATCTCTGTCCTCTTCTGCTGAGATGCCGCAAAATTTGACCACTATGTGACTTGGCTAAACGTGAAACCACGTGCCTTGTAAAATGCTGCAGGTCTGAAACATTAATGCTGGAATTGAAGGCAATGCAATGGTTGATATTGTTTGGACGGCGGCCAGCCAAAGTATATGTGGTATCCACGAGTTCAGGTACTCTCTATTCCTGTTACTTAGCATGCATAACGTTTTATTGATAGATGCCTTGTGGATTCATTCTCACGTTTTCATTTTTATTCTCTGTAGATAGATGGGACATTTCAGCCACGCGTGACACCTTAAATCATATTTATATTATTTTGTCACGGAATTTCTCTACGTTTAATTTCATCTAGAAGTTAGGATTCTGCATGATATAATTAGAAATAAACTTTACAAAGACAACAAATCTACGTAGCTGAAAAATCGTGTTACAACCCATGGCTACAATCTGTAGTAAATAAAGATACACAAGGATTTTTAAAAAAAAATTGAAGGCCTGATATTGAAATGGTTTTCAGGTTTCTTTGATAAATACTGCACTGTATTTGAGACATTATGGTACCCAGACTGAGAAGTGTACCATGAAAATGTGAAGAAGCAAGAAATGAAAGTTATATTCATTATACCACTCTTTAATAGGCATGCGAGAAGTCTATATTCTAAAGTCTGTAAAACGGATAGCTATTAATAATTTCTCAGTATATACGCCCCAGAAAATATCCTAAAACTAGCTGGAGAGTCACTTCATTCATCAATTATTGCATAATCAACTTGTTTGTACTTTATTTTAAGTCACTTCACTTTAAAAGAGAGACGTAAAATGAAAATTTCAGTGCTCAAGGCATTATTATCATGGGACCTTATTATGATTTTTAGACTCAGCAGTCAATTGATATGGTTTGTTTGGCAAAGCTTTTGAAAAGTTAAAAGTTGATTTTGGGACTAATTAGCCTCTTTGAATACGTCTAGATAATTTTCTGAAAGTATTTTTTTAACTAAAAGATTTTTACAGAAAATTGGTCTAAAAGTAACTTCCTCATGAAGTTCTTAGGCAAAAGTAGAAGCACAATCAAATGGGTGCATAGTCATATAGCTAGGAAATGTATTGCAAATTTGCATGTGCTTATTTTGTATTTAAGGAAATTTTGAATTTGAAGGTAATTGAAGCTGAACCAATCTGCCTTGAGAGACTTCTCAACATTGAGAAGACAATAGAGATTATTAGGGTTTGAAAGAGTACTGGACTCTATCTCTTACCCGACACGTGAAAATTCAACATCAGTTAAAGAATGAGCGGTTTGATCAAAGATATGTATCGTAGTCATAACAGCATCTGATGATTCTTCTACATCTTGCTGAATCATTGCAAGGACTTTTCAAGGCCCCGAGCCATTAAACATCCTACCGAGTCTGCGTGTTTCAAGTATTAATGACAACAAGGGATTACATTGCAATGTTGGTTCTTGCTTTGTTCTTCAGCATGTTCGTTTGATCTCAAGTGAAAATAATGACGAGGATGAAAATGTAGATAATTTTGACACGAAGGGTGATGAGGATCGATAGATTTATTGAATCCTAGATAAGGTAATAAGAGATTGTCACCATGAGAGACGTGGGACAATTTTTTTGAGATTTTTCTAAATTTTCTTTCATTATTTATTAGTCAATTGAATCAATGAATATTTGAACCTTAAATTATCTTTATTCATTACAATACCTATCAATTATTTGATTTCATCGTTCTCTCTTCTTGTTACATATAACATTATTTAGCTCATGTTTGACAATCGTTATTTCAAAACTCTTTTTTCTATGTAATCATTTTCAACTACATTTACAATATAAAATATTTTACATGTCAATCCAAATTTTTTTCCTACTTTTTAATCACATATTTTCCATTAAAAAATCACTATTCAAAACTCAATTTCACTCAAATAACGATTTTCAAACTGTGGCTAATTAAGTGAGCAAGGTGGCACGCGATTAGTCAATTTCGTGACTCTTTAATTTTTTAATTGCAGTACTAGTTTTGTTTTGTTTTAAACACTCATTTCCCATAAACAAAACGAACAATCAGAATCTGGTACGTACATAAAATCTTTATTGTTTGCTTAATTATGTATAACTTTTGCCATAAGAATGTTCGATACTAGTCTAATCAAATGTGCATTGAGCATTCAAAAGATTTTTTTGCTCATGAAAGATAATAAAATGTCGGACTAATGTTGCGTAGGAAACTTTTGTAAGGTACTTATCAACTAGACGTGATTAAAAGGATAGACTAGCATTGATGGGCAACTTGTCAAACTAAAACTAAAACTAAAGTTCAATTACTGCATATTTTTCTAATCAATCGGTACAGTTAGATCTTGTTGGACCTCAATTTTTTCTCATATTTATTTTCAATCACATATTTTATGAGATCTATAACTTTTAGTAATCGGTACCGCATAGGGACTCACCGCTGTTTGGCTTGGATTAAAATTTCAAATCAAAATGAAAATTAATTTTAACAATACATTTTATGGGGTCTACAACCTTTCAATCACATATTTCGTCAATTTTTATCAAAATTTACTAAAAATCTAATTTTAATATCTATCAATCAGGGGTTAATATTGCTTCTATTTCTATATAAAGTTAGAAGAATTGTCTAGCAGAAAAACCCTAGTAGGATTTAGAGACATCTAGATGTTTACATGGTAAATTTTTCCATAAACATTTTGGAAAAAATAAAATAAAATCGTTGGCCTTTTATATATGAAGGAATTCTAGTTTCAAGTGGGGTTAACTTAAAAATTCTCATTTGCCTAGTTAACACGATGCATCTTTCATAAAAGGTTTCTCGGAAATTCTTAATGTCATTTTGTAAATAAATGGGAAACATTAACAACAGCCTTCTACCATACGGATGAACGTTATAAAGGATACATTAGCAAGATGCATTAAAATATCGTCGTCATATTTCATTTGAATTAACCAATGATAACATAATGAATGTTGCGATAAACCCTTTTTAACAAGGCGCTGTTTTGGCCTAGCCACTTAGGCATACGAGGCCATGATAATCACGTCAAGTGTAACTCCACTTTCCTTTTTAGTGGCTAGTAAATAAGTAATTATTTACATTACATATATGTTGATGTGATGCCTTAATTAATCAGAAGCTACTGTTCAAATGAGTAGTTAAATATGGATAAGAACTGTATTTTACTGCGTATCTTTACAATTGGGAAGCAGAACTGACAAGTCAAAGTGACGTTTCATGGGAGCCTAAAACTTAACCCACATGCACTAGTCTCCTATTAAGACATCAAATTCAGGCCAGTCAATTCTGTCCTCTCCCTCACTTTTTCGCTTTAGGGCTGCCTTATCTCCCAAAGCACTATATATAATCTGGCTAACGTGCAGAGAAAATGGTCATTGAATCAGTTATTTATTGCTAAGAGAAAGAAACAAAAAGAGGCATGGCAAAGTGTAGAACAAATGGCAAGAGAAAGAATGGCATTGTAATGCTTAAAATAGTGGTGGAAAAGCTACAGAAAAGTTTACTCTCAGGAAGGAAAAATACGTCGGACTTGGATGAATTCGAAGAAGAAATGAGGGAGTCGACGAACTTGCCAAATGATGTGAAGGAGGGACATTTTGCAGTAATTGCAGTAGATGATGGTGAATTGAAAAGATTCATTGTGCCGTTGAGTTATTTGACTCATCCATCATTCTTGAGATTATTGGAGCAAGCTGCAGAAGAATATGGATTTCATCACGAGGGTGCACTGACCATTCCTTGCCGGCCATGCGAGCTTGAACGCATACTGGCGTAGCAATGGGAGGAGCAGAGGGATTCTAGGTTTCTTGTCCACTGGCCTCGTTCATGCAGGAAGACCATGCTCAGGGGCTGCTAAACATATATGCAGAAATAAATAGCAATTTGCTACATGTTTTTTCTTATACTTTTGTTTTTTAAATCTAGTGTTGGGAACAATAAATTCTTCGATACGTGGCATGTTTTTACCAATTCTTTATTTCAATATATATATATATA